GGTGTTGAAATGTGTATTACTAAAACTCATCTATCAATAACTTTATAAATCATATTTCTTTAATTTTTTTTAAAGAGAGAGAGAGAAATAAAGAAGGGGGGGGGAATGCTCACTTGGCCTTACTCCCCGAATGGAAGCACTGGTGGTTTTGACTCTTACTGGGGACAACTAACTGATTTGGAAACTGAGGAGACTAATCTTTAGAAACCTATCCCCCTCCCAGGTAAAAATAATTGAACCATCCTATAAAAATAAATAGCAAAAAAAACATTCACATATTTAGAATTTTAACATAATGTCTGTGCCTAAATTCAGGCTAAATTCATCTATTCTATCAGACCAACTTTTCTCATTTAAAAATGTATTATTATTTTTTATTACTAAATAACCATGAATTATACAGTTGCAAAGTGATTCATGATTGGGTTTGAGTCATACAATGTTCCAACACCCGTTTCTTCACCAGTATATATTTTCCACTACTGTCTCTCTTTTCTTTTGGGCATTATGGTTTACAATACAGATACTGAAAGGTTATCATGTGTATTCCTTTACCAACTTTCAGCACTCAATTCATGTCCAGAGTGATCATTTCCAACAATCATTGTCAAGTGGTTCACTCTCTATCCCAACTTCCCTCGACTTCATCACTGGAGACAAATTTCCAAACGTGAGCCAGTAATTCTGGCTCTCATTTTCACTGTCTTAGGATAATACCCTCAAACTATGCTTTTTATATCCCACAAATGAGTGCAACCATTCTGTGTCTGTCCCTCTTTTTCTGACTCATTTCACTCAGCATTGTACTTTCTATGTCCATTCATTTCTATGCGAACTTCATGACTTCATTCTTCCTGATGGCTGTATAGTATTCCATTGTGTAAATGTACGAAGTTTCTGTATCCAGGCATCTGTTCTCAGATACTCAGGCTGTTTCCAGATTCTGGCAATTATTGTAAATAGTGCCTCAATGAACACAGAAGCACAGATGGCTTTTCTTCTGTGTGTTTTTGGGCCCCCAGGATATAATTCCCCAAAATGGTATTGCTCTATGAACGCTCTAGTTTTTTTGAGGAATGCTGTATTTTTTTTAACTTTTTAATTAAATCACTGTGAGATAGACCATTACAAAGCTGTTCACGACTGGATTTCAGTAATACGGTATTCCAACACCCATTTCCTCCACCAGCGTACATTTCCCAGTACCAGTGTCCCCAGGTTCTCTCCCATCACCCCCAACCCCCACCCCCTGCAGGAAAATGACTCGGGAATTTCTTATAAGGCAGAAATCCAGAAAGCTTAAGCATAAATGGAACTTGAATCTTTGAATTTTTATTATGTTTAATTTTGGATACATTTACACAATTGTAACAGCAATACAACCCTCAATTTTTCATGTGTAGTCACTGTTTAAATCGTTTGTTACTGTGGAGTGGTTTAACCTTTTGTATTTAGAAAATTTTCTTTAACCTCTGAAATTAAAAACTTGCATTATTTGTACTTTAAATGATAGAAATGACTGAGATAAATTTAGAATTCAAGCTAAAATATATCTTGCATTATTGTATTTTTAAAGTTGTATCTTTAAACTTGTAGCACTGTTGTTGCCAAGGGAATTTTTATTCTATCATGGTTGTTGTGTTTTCACTTAACCAGATGAGAAGCTTTGCATTTCTGGCATCAATTCAGAAGGAAAGAGGTAGCCTATTGCCTCAAATTATAGGAAATCACATTCTTTCATTTTTTTCTAAAAGAAAATTCTTTTATCTTGAATTCTTTTTCCCAGATTCTACTCCTAAATAATTTCTGATATAAATATATGTATGTGTTAGTAAAATTTTTGATAATTTCTATTTTATATAAAATAGTCAGAAATGCCATGCCTGTGTTATGAAATCAATCTCACAGGCAAATAGATTACTGAAGCAAATTATCCAAATTTAGGATGAAATGAGCCAGACAATGGCAATTTAAACTCACTTGTTCAATTCATTTTCTAACTTTACTTATGTGGCCTACATTCTAAATAGACAGCTTTTATCTTCTTGGACAGTTGATTTCTGAATGCTTTTTTAATCTTGAGTCTCCAATTCACCCCAGGTACCATTTTCATCTGAGGAACTTAGCCTTTAATACTGTATCCACAGTTACAAGCCTCGGGCTAATCATGGCCTGGGGAATTGAGTTCTCGAGTGTATATGCAATCCCCTGACTCTCAGCTGAGACTCTCAGATTAAACTGTTGTCTCCAAATTCTGCCTCTTGGGGATCAGGGACAGTGCCTGCCTGCTCACCTGTCTGACAAACACTGCTGGTGAGCCATAGGCAATGGTTTCCTATTAGGGTTTGCAGTAACTGTGGAGTCCATCTTTGACTCTGTAAAAGAAGTAGAGAAAACAGTATTCAATGCCATATATATATGTATATATATAGCATTTTAAAAAATATATATGGCAGTTTATATATATACATATATACACATACATATATACATATGTACACACACACATACACACACACAGCAGCAGCAGCAGCAGCAGCAGCAGCAGCTTCCACAGAGCCAAAAATAAGTTGTTGTTAAGAAATCTCTTTCTTAGAACCACCAGGTAGACTGAGTTTTTCTAATCTCATGGGGTCTCTAGATGCAAACATATGGCATGCTTAAAATATATTATTTTTGTCATCATATTGCTTCCAAATCTACTCAAGCGTCAAGAGACTAATCTGACTTTCTGTGTTATTATATATATTATATATATATATATACACACACACACACACACACACACACATATGACTTTCAGGCAATAGAAAAGTACAGAGGCTAATATAGTAAATAATTATATACCTTTAGATTATTTTTATTTAATAAAAACCTACTATGGATGGTGTTGATACAGCTTTCCTCATACCCCTAATATAATTCTCCTTTTCCCTGACCCAAAAGCAAATTGGACCTTAATATCTGGGCCATTAGTGTTTTTCAATAACTCTGCTCTTTTTCTGGATCTGAGTTTGTTGCAAGAAGTCTGGATTAAATTCCTTAACATACTAAAGCCCTATGGCCTCTGCCTACACATGCGCCTTAAAATAAAATCCTAAAGCATTAAAGGTGCCATATGCTTCAGCTGGGCCCACCATTTTGACTGGTAACCACTATAACTTTTTCAAGCTCATCAACTCTTGAATTCCCTTAGCATAGAGCTTTTGGTCAAGTTTCCAGTCTCTTATTTTGTACTACTTGATGTTTAGGAGTTATTATTGCCTTTTATTTATTTATTTATTTATTTATTTATTTATTTTTAAATTTTTATTAGTGAGACACACGAGGCACAGTTGCAGACTTACAAATTTCTGTGCTCGGGTTTCAATTATACAATGATCAAATACCGATCCCTCCACCAGTGCCCATTTCCCACCACCACGGATCCCAGTATCCCTCCCACTCCCCCATCCCCCCATCCCATCCTGCATCTGTGGCAGGGCATTCCCTTTTGTTCTCTCTCCCTTTGGGTGTTGTGATTTGCAAAATAGGCAATGAGTGGCAATCATGTTTGGTCTATAACAACACTATTCTTGATGCTGTCTCAGAAAATAAACCAGGTGAAAACTGTCTAGGAATACTTGCCTTAAGTGCATGATATTCCATACCCAGAAAGTATAATGGAGGCAATCTCCCTCCTTCCTTGAGAAGTGTGACAGAGACTGCTTGCTTCACGTAACCAAATAAATGGTACTGTGGCCTTCAACCACCTGTGATAGTCAAGTGAAATATTTGTTTGAAAACATTCAAGAAATAGCTAGAGATTGTTTTCCTACCTTCTGAAGTATCCAACTCAAATGATTTATGATGCATTTTTCAAACTGCAATTATTCTGGTTCCTGGTTTAAATGTCCTTAAAAGGTAAATGGCTTAAATTTAGTCTATGACTTTAATCTCATAATTTTATTTGTTTCAGGAATTCTTTTAACATTCTACCTTTTTCCAAAACAAAGCTGAAAATTAAGTATTTGTTTAAACAGTAAGAATTTTTTTTACCTATGGATTGGTACCAATCCACAAGTGAAGAAAGACTGAGGAATGGTGATGTCTTAGGTCAAATCATCATTATCACTGGCTTCTTTATCAAAGTTTGAAAATATAGTACTATACTTCTTTCTTTTACCCCAGCCTATCACTAGCTGGAGAAACTACAGTTTGTGACTATGAACTTGTACAGCAACATCTTTTGTGATTGTGTCTGAACACAAATTACAGATGTCCTAAGTATTGATTTGTTAAAACTTACTTGGCTACTTATTTCATTCCACAATCCAGATTTAGACTAAAGCAAATAAAAAAACACACATTACAGCATTTTCCTAATGAATTGGTCATTCATTTACATTGTTATTATAACTAACAATATTGCATTATTGTATGATGTAACATCTTTTTAACCAACACCACTGAAAATTTCACGTAAAATATACTATAGTTTTACTTCCATTAGAAATGTAATAAAGTGGGGCTGGAGTGAAAACACAGCAGGTGGGACATTTGCCTTGCACACGGCTTACCAGGGTTCGATTCCCAACATCCCATATGGTCCCCCGAGCACCGCCAGGAGTAATTCCTGAGCAAAGAGCCAGGAATAACCCCTGAGCATCATCGGGTGTGACCCAAAAAGAAAAAGAAAATGTAACAAAGTGGGGCTGGAGCAATAGCACAGTATGTAGGGTGTTTTCCTTGCACACGGCCTACCCGGGTTCGATTCCCAGCATCCCATACGGTTCCCCGAGCACCACCAGGAGTAATTCCTGAGTGCATGAGCCAAGAGTAAACCCTGTGTACTGCCGGGTGTCACCCAAAAACCAAAAAAAAAAAAAAAGATGTAATAAAAAAATCAAAAGAGTAAATCTGTCAAAGTCAGAAATTGTTATAGTCAATCATCAATCAGGAATTAAAGGTCCTAGTCTAAAGACTTATTCTAACTTGTATTGTTCTCCTTTATGTTTTAGACATTGCAGATGGATGTAAATAAGTTGAACATAACCTTGCTACGGATTTTCCGCCAAGGAGTGGCAGCAGCGTTGGGACTTTTACCCCAGCAAGTGCACATCAATCGTCTTATTGTAAGATGCCTGCATTTCACATTCTCAGAGTACACGCTTTGATCTTTATAAAGGAAATTTATGAGCGGGAGTAATAAAGAGTACCCGTGCTATCATCCTGCGGCCATGAGCCATATCTGGCATACCACCTGTTTTTGTTTTTAAAAAAACTATCCCAATGAACCACACCCACACGCTTGCATATTGTCTATGACTTTATTCACGCTACAGTGAAAGCGTTGAGTAGTTGCAACAGATTGTTTGGCTCAGTTGAAGTCAAAAATATGGACTAGCTGACCTCTTACAGGAAAAGTTTGTGATTTCACTCAGAGGGCAAATCTAACCATCCTGGTGGTACAAACATATGGGCTCAACATACTAGTCTCACCAAGCTGATACCACTCTCCAGATGGTTCCTTAGAACAGAAGCCTTTTCTCTCAGTTCAGACCCTGTCTCCAGACAGCATCTACCAAAATCCCTTTGAGCTTATTAGTAGAGTGAAGGGTCCCAGAATTTGCACAAAGCAGAGGATTTTGAGCAAAGAATAAAGAGGAACAGGTTCTTGAGGAGCACAATCAAATGAATGTAAGGGTAGGTTGTTCTAAAAAATCCAAGAGAAAATGTCAGTGATGCCTGGGATGGAAATAAGCTAGCTCTACGTAAGGTTATTTTCATAAGCTCCACTTTAGAACTAGCAATCAATCATCCACATCCTTTCTTTCCACCCTTTCCTCAGTGTTTGGGAATCTTGATGTCATCCAACCCATGTTCCCCTCTGCATTGAAAGAAAGGTGGGTGTGAGCAAAGGCAAAGCAAGGGAAATTCGACTTATATGATTTTCCCTTTGTAAAAAGCTAATTACCTAAAGTTCCTCTGAAAGAGGCCTTTGAAATGCTCTTACAGGTTTAAAATTGTTCTTCATTTCCACTGCAGTGGAAACTCGGAGCATCCTCCTTGCTTTGAATCCTTGTGTTCTGCTAGAGCTCAGCTTTCTGCTGCATCAACAGCCACATTCCCAGCTCTAGAGAAAATTTTGCTTTTTCTTTCAGTTCTGGAGTTTTGTTTCATTTTTCTGTAAGGAGAGGGTATGTTCCCCTTCTTCTAATAATTTTTATTTTGTGAGTTGAGTGACCTAATTTGCAAAATCTACATGCTTTTGACCCAAAAATACTTGTGTAACTCAATTCTATGGAAGAAGGAAAACAATAATCCCCAATATTTGAAATGGTGAATAATTATTTATATGCAGGGTAAAGCTTGCTTAAGTGAAAAGATTTAGGTACAACAGATGTCTTAGTTGCAGATCTTTGTATATATGTTTAGATACCTTAGATATACTTTTCTGTGCATAGATTTACTGTAAATAACAGCTTTTTGCAAAAATAAAGAAGGATTTGTCAGACCCAAGAAAAGTAAGCATATTCTTGGAGAATGTTTGCAGTTTTATCTATTTCTCGAAGCAGTTCTAAGGAAAAGTTGTAATCATACCTGAAGCAGCAGAATAATATGATTAATAACATGTGCTTTGGAAACAGACAGAACCACACTCCATTTCTAGCTTAGTCATTTTCCGTCTTCACCGTTTACCAGCTATGTGACTTTCAGCAAGCTATTTGTGTTTCTTCATTTACAAACTCGAGATAACCATAATACTCATTTCCTAGGGATATGTTGAGCATTAAATGAGATTAACAGACTTAAAGAACCATTAAAGCACAAAAAAAGTGCTCTCTTCTTATTACTGTTATTAGGCCACAAACCATTGCCTTATTATAAACATGTTTCAGATCACTAGTGTACTATGTTTATGCATCTGTTTTTCCCTGCAAACACTGAAATGTTATTCCCACCCCCTCAGTTAATGTGTTGATAGTCTTTTTTTTCATAGTTCAGTGAACTTCTGATTAATTGCATTAAAAGAAACTTTTCTAGCATGACAGAAATTAACATAGCAAACGGCAAAGAATAAAAAAAGATTCCCTTGTAAAAGTGCATTGTGTAAATTGTAAAAAAGAGCATCAATGGCAATGCCATTGTTGTGTGATGTTTGTTTTGTGTTTACATGTGGCATCTTGGTACTTAGAGTAAGAAAACCTCTCTCCATTTCAGTGATCAGATATTACTAGCAGGAAATGGTGATGACACTGTTGAAAATAAGCATTTATAGGTAAAGGTAAAGGTAAAGGTAAAGGCCCTCCCGTTGATCGTCGATTTGCTCGAGCGGGCCCAGTAACGTCTCCATTGGAGACTTTGTTGTTACTGTGTCTGGCATATCGAATACTCTCGGTAGCTTGCCGGGCTCTCAGAGAGGGGCGGAGGAATCGAACTCGGGTCGGCCATGTTGGCTGCTTGTAAGGCGAACGCCCTACCGCTGTGCTATCGCTCCTTATAACAAATCAATTTAGCAGGTGTGACATATTTGTATGTAAAACAGAACCAGTGAAGCATTATCTAGCATCTTCTAAAATCACCCGTTTTAGGTAGTTCAACCTTCTTTACATACTACAAGTTCCAAGAAAAATATATGAAAAAATGGCACCTCATAGTTGTACTGTTACATCAAGATTTATTTAATTCACCTGGCTTCAAAATGTCTTTTGAGGCATAATTCCCTAAAGAAGTCAAAATAATATATTTCAAAATTACAGTATAGAAATAAAACATAACAATACCCAGTGAAATAGAAATGACAGATCTTTAGGTGTCAGCTAATTGAAAGAAGATTGAATATTTCAGACTTTTGATTAGTAATATGGTGTATAACAGAGAATAACAAATAAAGATGATATCCAAGATGCCTTTTAGGAACCTAGGATTCTAATTTTCTTTAATGGTACTAGAGGGAGGATTTTTAAAAATTCCAAGTTTTTGTAAAATGTCTACTAACAGGTGTGATGATTCTGCTTTTACTAGGAAAAAAAGAACAGTGTTGAGTTATATGTATCCCCCATAAATCAAAAAGGAGGCGTCTCTGATCCCCTGCCACCCGAGGAAGTGCTGCGTTCACTTAATATCAATGTTCTGCATCAAAGTTTATCTCAGTTTGGAATTATAGAAGTCTCCCCTGAGGTATGTATAAAGACACTTGTATAAAATTTTTCCGTTACTGTAGCATGATGACCCAACCCCGAAGAGCTTAGAAATAAAAGCTGTTCACTATGTTGTTTGATAATAAAACTCTCCCTAAGGATCAGAGTTCTCAGATCTTCATACTGTTTGTGTTTATTCCTTAAGGATGTTCATTTTCACATCAATGTTTTTCTTTCTTGACACTTCCCTTTTCAAAATTTTAGTGGTCTTTATTTTTACTTATGCAGCAAATTGTCAAGAATAAAAGACCATTTTGCATCAATTTGCTAACTGAGTAAAAACTCTCTCACATCTTCAACAGACATATTATATGTTGCCCTTGTCAAAATGGTCATCAGATATTCCTCTTTCCCCAAAATGTTGAAGGGAATTTTAAATGTGATTCTTCCTTTACTGAGGAATCCAATCTTAAGAATTGTGAATATTTTCTTCATAGTGTTTCCCAAATTTAGCACATTTTAAAATTTCCCTAGCACTTCCATCATCCTCACTGTGAATGAATTCAGTTCTTCCTTTTTCACTTCTACTCCATCCCACTTGAGCTGGCTAGAAAGATCATCATCCTAGGCATATGTGATGAAAACTCCAGAATCATAGAATCAGACCTTGAAAGAATATTTGTGAACATTTTATGGATACAAAAAGTAAAGGCCATATGAAACTAAGTGACTATCAAATTAACAAAGGTAGTGAGGAATAAAGTAATGCTTAAAATCTAAAAACTTAAGCCCCTTTGTAGCAAAAAACAACTACCTCTCATTTCAACAAATTTTGTAGAGGTGATATGAAAAGTTTTGGTAGAAGACAATTTTAATCCCAGAACAGAACATAAAATGACAGGTAATTTAAAGAGATTAAGACTGCAAGGTTAAGACACTAAATTTATTACTGTTGCCCTGTCTGGACCTCAGTTTCTTTATGTGTAAAAGTGATTTAGTGAAAAAGTAATAATGATAACGGTCTCTGTCTTGATAGACTTGAAGTTTGAACTTAAAATTTTAATATATGTCGAAGTCCATGGGTTTGAGCAATAGCATAGTGGGTAAGGCGTTTGCCTTGCATGCAGCCGACTTGGCCAACCCAGGTTCGATTCCTGCGCCCCTCTTGGAGAGCCCGGCAAGCTACCAAGAGTATCTTGCCCGCACGGCAAAGCCTGGCAAGCTACCCATGAGGTACTCAATATGCCAAACATAGTAACAATTGTCACAATGGAGACGTTACTGGGCCCACTGGAGCAAATCGATGAACAAGGGGAGGACAGTGACAGTGACAGTCGAAGTCCACACATAATTTAGAAAACAAACAAATATAATTTGAATGCAGGTTGGATTAAAAGAAAGAAAATATATTTTATCATTGAACCATAACTGTGACAATAGCCTCCACTGAGCTTCTATTTTATTCCCCACTGCACCACTCTCTTCCTCCCACCATCACTATGCGTATTCTCTCTCTTGTCACCAGAGCAATATTTCTAAAAGCAAATCAAGTCACATTCTTCTAATATCAGGATTCTCTTTTGGCTGCCCAAGTACTCTAGAGCCAAGAGTTCATTTCATTTAGTTAATAAGGGTTACCCCAGCAGTGATGGGAACGGGGAGCGTCACTTCTGACAATACTCAGCCCAAAAGTACAGGCCTGATGACTGGGTACTCAGGTCTCATGGTACTCAGGGACTACCCGGGCCACACCCAGAAATGCTGGGAGCAGGGGATCCAGTATGGTGCTTGGAATTGACCCAGGACCTCACACTTGCTAGACATGTGCTCTGCCACTTGTGTTCCCTGTTCAAGTCTGGAATTTTTACTTGCTGCATGGTCCTTTGTGCATTGGACTTTGTAGAGTTGAAAACCCACCTGACTAGTTTATGTTTCAGCAACCCCAAATGCAATAGGAACCTTAATACACCCACACTGTTTTTTTTCTTATCCATTCTTAATCACATGTTGTTTGGTTTGGTTTGGTTTGTTTTTTGGTTTGGGACCCTCACCCAGTAGTGCTCAGGGCTTACTTATGGCTTTATGCTAGGAATCAATCTTGGTGGGGCTCAGGATACCATATGTGATTCTGGGGATCACATGTGTTGATACATCTTTACAACTGCTAGGTTTCAAGATCCGTCTGGAAATAATATAAATATTTCTTCCTATTGTCTAATTTTGAATTTAAATATTGTTGTGAAGGCTTTAAGGATATAGCAATTCCACAAATCATCCAGATTTGGTAACGGAGCAAACGTCACCGTAGAAAAGAAACTAGTAGTATTTGAGGTGGGAAAGGAAATAGTTACACTATAGTATTTGAGGGGGTCCTCCAATATAGCCCAACTCAGTCGAGATGGGAAAGTTAACCTGTCAGTCTGTCACACAACTATTAGGCCAGAGTTTCTACATGTTTTATACTGTACTTGAATGGAAAGTGTTTTTAGTAGTCCAATGTCATGCTTTCTTATGAGATTCCAGGACTCAAGAAAGCTAGGAAATTTGGGAAATATTGTAAGAACTTAGGTGATATTTTCACTAAATATAGGGAATATTTACTCAAAGATAAATGGATGTTTGAGCCCTTTTGCCCCCTTACCTGAAGCTCTAAAGGCAGGTGGGGGGAGCTTAGGAACAAGGCCATCTGCATTCTGCATAAGCCCTCATGGGAATCCTCGGATCCAGTCTAAAGGACTGCAAAAACATTTGCTGATAATTGTTTAAAGTTGTTCAGGGGCTGGAGCAATAGCACAGCACGGGTAGGGCATTTGCCTTGCACATGGCCAACCCAGGTTCGATTCCCAGCATCCCATATGGTCCCCTGAGCACTGCCCGGGGTGATTCCTGAGTGCAGAGCCAGGAGTAACCCCTGTGCATCGCCAGGTGTGACCCAAAAAGCAATATATATATATATATATATATATAGTTGTTCAGTGGTATTCTGTAAGTTTCCATTATAGTTAATTATTGCAATTAATATTTGAAGATTAGTTTCCCTTATAGTTAATTATTGCAGTTAATGTTTGAAAAGAGTTTATGCTTCCTTCCTTTATTAGTATTTTTATCCAAAAGTCTTAGCTGCATTATGGAAAATATTTACAACCAAAATAAAGAATATTGGAGTTCAGGATTTCTGTCTCTACCTGGGTTAAAAACAAACAACAACAACAACAAAAATCCATTGCTGAGGGGTCAAGGATGTAGTTAAAGTGACAGACCACATGCCTAGCATGTATAAGGTCCTGAGTTCAAACCCCAGCACTCCCTTTTGCTCTGCTGACTCCTGAGCACTAAATCATTGTAAAAATAGCTCAAAACATCTATTTCTAAATTTATACTGGTTATTTTCAGAGAAAGTTGTGTTTTGTTTATACCACTTCTTTATTTGCTTGATTTTTTTCAAATCACAAGTGACTCTTGGGGAAACAAAGAAAAATGCCAAGTAGAGAATCATTTTTGTTTATTATCTGTTTAGATTTCAAATCTAAGTTTCTTGGGACAAGTTGTTTTGTTTCTTTTATATATTTTTATGTTGTACCTAGAATATTTGAAGCATGCAAAATTATTTTATTGTAAGACTCTCATAAAGATAAAACTAGATTTCCTCTTTCCTAATAAGTTAGATCTAAGGGAAATAAAACTAAATTTATTATTTTTGCTTCTATTTTAAAAAATTTTATGATGGTAAGTAAATATCTTGTTGAAACAATATGTTCTGCATTGGTATTGGGAAAAAAAAGATTTAGAATTTCATTGTTGTTTGAGTGCAAATTACTTCCCTTTACAGATACATTACAAAAGAGGAAGTTAGCAAGTTAAAAAGCAATTCAATGTGCAATCTGTTTCTTCTATGGAATATTTACCATGCCAGCTAAAAATAAACTGCACTGTCCTCCCATTATTCATCAATTTGCTCGAGCAGGCACCAGTAACGACTCCATTATGAGACTATTTTGGCATATCGAATACACCACCGGTAGCTTGTCAGGCTCTGCTGTGCGGGTGTGATACTCTCAGTAGCTTGCCGGGCTCTCCAAGAGGGATGAAGTAATTGAACTTGGGTTGGCAGCATGCAAGGCAAATGCCCTACCCACTGTGCTATCACTCCAGCCCAAAAACTATAATCTATAAATTTAGTGATTATTCCTTCAAATTAGGAGCGTTAATCAATTATCTCCAGAATCACAGAGTTAGGCACATCATGCCCAGGAGAACACCATCAGTGTTAATGTATGTCCAATTATTCAAACCAAATTGTCTACTTTTGTTTTACTCAGTGAAAATGTGGCATTAATCTAACAAAAGCATATTGTTGTAGGAAACACTTCTTTTATCTGAGTCAAATAACCCAATAATTTATAACATTGTCACTTCATTTTTTGTTCTGTGTGCTTAAGTGATCCTAAAGAAATGTATTTCCTAAAGCCTCTGTCTCCTTCCTCCTGCTGTTTGGAGTCCTTCCCTATATATGATCATAATTTTTTTAAATAAAATAAATTTTTGACATTTCATGAATAAAATTATTAAACAGAACATATGTAAACCATTGTTGTCCGTACAGTAAACTACCCTAGCATAGAATAATAAAACTAAACAAATCCACCAAGTCAAAGTGCAATGTGTCAACAAAATAAAAATAAAGATTCCGTGGCATTTGCTTGACCTGGCCAGGGAGCCTCCAAATCACTGAACCTTTAGTTTCCTAACCAATATTAAAACATCAAGCCTTCTGCTAATTGTTGTAGTAGAGACTCCTGTAAATCATAATCTTTTGGTTTGTGGGATCTGAAACTACAAACTTTTCCACTTATTGCCCTGCCCTTATCAAGTTTTCCATATCTCTGTACAAATATAGTAGTGCTCAGCAGGAATAGCATGACTCAGAAGGAAATCTATTTACCAAGAAAGTGCAGTGACTAAGTTCTAGGGGTTCAAAACATTTCTTTCTAACTGGGGGTAGGGGAGCAGAGAGTGGGAGATTAATTCTTTCATCATCACTGCTTTGGTTAAGAAAGAAAACAAAACAGGTTTGTCTATAGCAGAAAGGAACATGTTGGTATTCCAGGACGTGTGGGTCTATAGCAGGAAAAAGAAATGAAGCAAATTCAGGTTAGAAACACAAAAATCTCTTGCCACCCACATAACCACCCCTTTTATCCAAATTTTACAGGAACTAAAGCTCAGATCCTCATACTTTAATTTGACAAGTTTATGCTTCCTACTTGATGGCTTAGCTAGTTGGCTTTTTTAGGAAGCAGTAGATGCTATTTAGTTGCCTTTCCCCCAAAAATAAACACACCCTAATTTCCATATTCATCCCCAATTTCTACAAATAGTTTCTTTCCTCTTAGTTTCCAGCTAAGAGACACTGGAATGAAAGATGCCCTATTTGAGGTCCAAGAGCAAGAGATGAGGCATTACCAGAACCTAAAGTTTCCTTTCCACTAGGGTACTTGATCTCTAGTCATTTTACCCAGAAATTTCAGATTATTCATCAATATTCCATTTACATTTTTTATAATGTAACTCTAAGCCATCTTTCGTAATGTTGAATTTGTGTGTCTTAGAAGGTAGGAAGGCATCAAAGGGAGCTTATCAGTGATTTATAAAGGAAGTGGAGGCTCTACTAAGTGAAGCAATGTAAATCTCCCCAATAAGTTTCTAATCACAATTGAATCCTGAGACTTTATTTTCTATTAACTTCCCACCAATACTTACTTGAGTTCCTGGGTAAAAGTTTTCACAAAACTATTTTTCAATGCAAATTTTATATCTAGATTTTAAGTGTTGTATCTATTTTATTTCCCAAAAGAGCTTAAAACTGAGCAAAGGGATGCAAAGAGAAAATATAGAGGGTAAAGTCCTAGCCTGGTACATAGGCATATGCAAACCTATGGTCCCTTGAGTATCACCAGGAGTGGTCCCTGAACACAGAGTCTGGAGTAAGACCAGAGTACTGTTGAGTGTGATAAAAAATAAAAATAACAATTAGCAAATATTTCAAAATGTAGATACCACCCAAGACAATTTTAGTTCAAGAATTGCTGTCTTTTTATTTTTATGTTCTGAGAAAACAGTGACTTATTATTCTCATGGTTATTTGTGTTGATAAAAATGAAGTAGGTGGCACTTTTGTTCCATATGGTATTGGCTAAAGTTATCCCAATGATTATGTTAAGCTGGGACTCCTTGCGAGAATGCCAAATATAATCTTATTCTCCAAGACCAGTTTCTATATGACTTTTTATTACTTAATGTCTTGTTGCTCAAAACTTTCTTAAATTTTGGAGATGATTTCCAAGAAGAGACAAGTATTCTCATTAAAAGAGAAAAAGACTGACAAAATGAAATTTTAGATGAGTGGAAACATTTGACTTGATTTAGCTTTTATATTTTTTCCTAGTTGTGGAACATTTTATTTCAAGTGAAGGTTTCTTAAATTATAAATCTATAAATTTCACTAAAGTATAAAGCTTCATTTCATTCTGGTGCGGGGAAATCACTCTGAGGACTGGAGTAGGTGCTTTCCTCTGGAAGGATACACATGGTCTCCCAGACACGACTGGGAGGTAACTCTCTACCAAAAACTGTGCCAGGAGTAATGCCTGAGCACTGCTAAGTAGGCTCAAAAAACAAAGCAAACTCAAAAATGTAAAACAAACACCAAAACAATTTAATTGCAACCTAAAACTTTAGTAGATGTATTTTTTAAATTGAAATAAGAATGCGTGATAGCATATATACTTCAGTATGCACCCTTGAAAATAAGCAGGCATACAGACCACATCAAATACACCACTAAAAGTCTCATTTTAGCCTCACCATACTGATGTGCCTTTTGTTTTGGTTTGGTTTTTTGTTTTGTTTTCTTTTCTTTTTGGGTCACGCCCAGCAATGCTCAGTGGCTACTCCTGGTTTTGCATTCAGGAATTACTCCTGGCGGTGCTTGGGGGACCATATGGGATACTGGGGATCGAAGCCGGGTCCACGGCATGCAAGGCAAACGCACTACCCACTGTGCTATCGCTCTGGCCCCTGATGTGAGCCTTTTTTTAAAAGAATGAATGAAGTAAAACCAAAACACTCATTCACATCTTAGTCGGAGCTTATTCTAGACTCTTCTCTACCCCCTGAGAGTATACTTAGTATCATCATCATCATCATCATCATCATCATCATCATCTAATAATAATAATAATAATAATAATAATTGAACATATAAGTATTTATTTCACCTGTTAATTCAAAATCATTCTAGATTGGGGGAAGAGGGGAGGGTATTCCCTATTAGATAAAATAGAATGTCACTAAGGTAATATTCTGTTCCAATTTTAACAAAATTAACCACACTGAATAGTACGATTAATAAAATAGAAAGGTGTTGTTATTTTTTTTTAAAGAATGAATGAGATGGTCCTGACATTGCCGCTCCGTTAACTCGTGCCGCGGGAGGTTTGATTTGCACCTGTTTCACTTTTGTTTAAAAGTTAAGAGCAGCACGGAGACCAGGATGTTGGAGTTGTGGGAGGAGACGAGATTTAAAATAGAGTAAAGAAAGCTTCCTAAACTGCCTCCACACCGAAAAGGACAGGATTCTTTTACCTACACACCAGGTCGTTTTCAGAATCTCAGGGACGTATTTAGGAAGCCCGGGACGTGGAGCTGCTGTGGCCGGCACGCGTGCTCTGGTCCAGGAGCGAAATGATCTGGCTGTGTGGAGGGACCGCAGCAGCCCCCTGTCTTAGAGCAGTTTGAGAAGCAGCTCTGGCAGCGAGGGATGTAGGTGTGCTCCACTCCACTGAATGGAATCAAGCTAAAAATATGCTTTAGTGTCTGATAAGAACGCCCCGTCTCCAAGGGCTGGCTTAACGTCGGACTTTCTCTTTTGCTTTTTTAAAGAAAAATGTTTTACAAGGGCAGCATGAAGCGGACAAAATCTGGAGCAAAGAAGGATTCTATGCTGTTGTCATTTTTCTCAGCATCTTTGTGATTATAGTAACATGTTTAATGGTAAGTTTCTTTCTGTGTTTTATCTTTTGCTAAGTCCACTGCTTAATGTTACTGGGCACCTTGCCATTCAAATGAATGTTTTTGCAAAACTGGGTGCAGAGGCAAGACTGTGATTCTGTTAGACTGGAAATATTTCGTATCTTTCAGCAGAGTGATAGTTAAATGAAAATCTACAGAATCATAGGTTCTTACTGCAGAATAAGGTTGTAATGGTACTGAAGCTTTTAGTAACTTGATCACCCTAAGAATGAAGCTTTAGAAAGTGATTGACCAAGGTCACAGAAAGCCCCAAAGTCATTATAGTCTCCTGGGAATACTTTGGGCTTTATTTCTCTTGTTATATCCTCTTTTAGGAACTCAAGAAATTTTTTAGAAGGAAATATGTCCAAGTTTATTCCTGGAAGAATGATTCCTTTCCTTATTTTAAAAAGGATTGAAGTCTGTGAATTCTGGGCATGATAAGAAGATAATTATAGGCTCTATATTAAACAATTCACTACCAATTAATTTGTTAACATAAAAGTACACACTGCAAATAGCTCTGTACATTGCAAACTGTAGCTGCAGTCTTTATATCTATGTCAAATTTCTTTGAAAACTTAAATGCAAAATGAATTTTAAGTTCACTAAACTAAACAATGCTGATTGCTATTGAATGAATAGAGTTGCAGCTCAGATAGAATAAAAAGATTCCTAATTATTTATAAAAATCTACTGTAACATCTTAGAAGTTTACAAATGGGCTTAATATATTTCACTATCTGCTATGTTCTTTTTAATGTTGTTATTAAAATATTTCTTTCTCAATTTTTAAATATCCCCCCACCCCCACCCCCCCAAAAAAAACACATCATGCTTTTTACTCTTTCTGTAAGCAACACTGTTGCTAAATATCGTACTGGATTTGGTTCAGCAGTGCTCCCCCTGCTGGGATGGGGTGTATGTTAGATTAGGTCTCAGTTTTGAAAAACAAAGGCTAAGTAGGTTTAAAGTTGACATATATGAAACAGTGACAGTGTTGGATATGGTTAAGAGGGGCAATTTTCTTGCTATCTGAAATACAAGAAACCGTGAGAGAACCCTTAACTTTGCATCATAATGACTTTAGCAACATATCCTATGGTCCAGGTGTCAGAAAATATTTCTTTTAAAATCATGACATAATAAACAGAAGAATAAGGACGAAGTACGAAAATTAGTACATACCAAATGGTAGAGATGAAGGAAAAGAAGTTTGATGGGAAAAAGTTGGTGGTTTCATGGAAATTATGACAGAGATATCCAGATATGCCTTAGTGTTTTAGAGTGTGTGGTTCTTTGTTGTGGCTAATTGCACTTTAATGTATGTGGTTCTTTTCCTTTATGCAAAAAACCTTGAGTCTTTCTTCTGTCAGGCACAGTTAGGGGGTTCTTCTGCTTCACAGAGGTAAAAAGAATAAGAGGAGGGGAAAAGAGAAATGGATAGAAAGGAATAAATATGGAAATTGTTCATGAGATATATGAATAAGATTCAGAGGTGCAAAAGCGAGGATTAAAGGAATAAGATGAGAAAGCAGATTCCTCAGAGAGTTAAAGGGCAGGGGTGGGCACGGAAGAGCTTCTTATTAACATGTTAAGATAAGTTGCTGATTTTGCATTTCTAACTCAGGGAGCATCTACTTATTCAACAGGACTGAATGTATCTCTATGTGGCATAGTGTGTACCAAAAGACATGTGATTGACACACCCTCAACCATCCAATCCAAAATAAAATGCAAAATTCAGAAACCAAATAAATCTATTCTAAACTTCCTATAAAATTTTTTTTAAAAGATTGTTTTGAAAGTTTAGGTGATTACTCTCTACTGGGTTGGTAGGTAGATTGATCCATTGATTCCATCCACAATAACGATCTGTTGAGACAATCCATGGTGCCTATGCTTGGCACTATGGAGAAAAGAGAGAACAAGATAGATATGGTCTTATTCTCATGAGTGTGGCTTAAACTCAAGAAAGAATGCAAACATGGGGCCGGAATGATAATATAACAGGTATCTTGCATACCACTGACCTGGATTTGATCCCCGACACCCCATGTGGTCCCCTTTGCACTATCAGGAGAAATTCCTGAGTACAGAGCCACGAGTAACCCCTGAGCACCACCAAATATTCAAACAAGAATTTACTATTTTGAAAAATCAAACAGTGAAGGAGCCAGAAAGATATAGGTACGGTGCTTGCCCTCCACTTGGCTGGCTCAGATTAAATCTCTGGCATGACTTATGGTCCCCTAAGAACCTCCAGGAATGACCCAGGGGTGCAGAGTCAGGAACAAGCCCCAAGCATTGCCATATGTGGCCACCCCAAAAAATTGAAAATATTTTTAATCAAACAGTGCACATATTGTATAATTATAATTATATGACATTCTAGATGAGGCAACACTATGGGAAGAGTAAGAATTTATATAAGATTCCCAGAATTTGAGAAAAAGAGAATAAGTAGGTGGAATGGAACAGATCTTGGAGTAGCGGAAGTATTTGATTGAATTATTTGAATTGTTTGAGACTGGAAAAATATATGGCATTATGGATCTGCCAAATTCATACAATGTACAATATAAAGGAAGAGTCCTAATCTAGACTACAGACCACTTCATTATAATAAATCAACACTGGCAGGTCAGTGATATCAAATGTATCACATTTTAGAAGGTGTTACTAATATGATAAATTATTCAGAAAATAAGGTGTAAATAAAAACTCTGTGTTCACTTTTTATATAAATCTAAAATTTTGCTGAAAGGATGTATTTATTTTTTTAAAATAGCATTAAGTGCCATAGAGAGATGAGCAAAACAGTGAGTGAGTGAGTGGAAGAAAGCAATCTGAGACATTTTCATGTTTTATATGTTGGCAGAGAAAATGGAGAGGTAGAACAGCTGAGGTCAGGAATCAGCTCAGTATCTCTGGGTTCATGGAGAAAGGCAGAAGCCAAATACTTTAAGCAGAGCTTTGATGTGATCTGATGTATGAACTTAAAAAATCATGTTTTTTGCTGGTGGTTCTCTGCTTGGATCAAAATGGGGTGATGTGAAGCAGGACACTATCATATTCACATGATGAGAAGAGGAGAGTAGCTTAGAACAGAATTGGTGATGGAAATATAAAAAGAAAATTATGTGGGTTTATTATTTTCACTTTTTTAAGATGGAACTCTGATTCACAAACATACATATTCTGGTTTGTTGCCCATAATTTTCTTGATTCCATGACGAGGAAAAGATATTGAGAATTTCCCCTCTGGAAATCCTTATATTTATGAAAGATCAAATGCCATTATTTGTGTCCAGCATTCCTATGTACCATAGAAATGAAAATCATGTGGCTTTATTATGAAATTATATAGGTAAATTGCTTTGATGAGGATTATGTGTGCTGTATAACAATAACATAAGGCTTGGCAAATTTTTTGAAATGTGGCATATTGTTTACTTTCCTTAAAATAAAATAAAAATCATTGCCAGGCATAAAATTAGACACGCATGATATTTTCAAATGTGTGACTTATTTAGCACCTCTCAAATGTGAATGTAGAGTGGGTAGAGAGACAAATAGACGAATACAATTTTCCAAGAAAAAATGTGTGGGCAACTTCCAATCCATTCAGTCTGTTTTAGATGGAGGAATTTATTACTAAGAAGAATTAGTTCTTAAGCTAGAACAAATAACAAAAAGAACACCATTTATCATCTAAATTAGATCGTTAAAAGTACTTAGAGGTTTATTAACAAGTGCAAAAGTATTTTTGAAAGGTAGATATGTCTGCAAGACTGATTGCTTCAGGAAAGCAATTCCAGCAAACACAAAAAACAGCTGTGTGGGTCAGTAAAAGCTCTAGCAAGTTTTATCCATGGATCAGCCATTCATATGTCATACAAAAAGTTTCTCTGGTTACTGTCCTGGGAGCTGTCACAAGAAGTCTTATATGGGATAACCGCTGGGAGCCTGAGCATCATGCAGAAAATATATGTCAAAGGTGGACATAAGTAGTCCTTCCCATTGGTTACTTGTAATCTCTAGGACCCAGAGAACTGAGACTAATTTCCTAGCTGGAATTATTAGGCACAGAACAATTTTCTAAAGTAGGCATCTAACTCAAATTAATATCATTATCTAATAAGCTAGTATTCATCTTTTCTGATTAATAAAGAAACCATTTAGCTAAGAATACAACCCTCTTCATAACTAAACAATAATGGCAGTCATAGTAGTTACTTTCTTTTATTTCAACACACGTAGTAGTACTAAATTTACTACCTGGTTCTATACACTTAGTGAAATTTTTTGCTGGGAATTCAGGCACAGAGTCCCACGTTGTGCTCAGAGGATGCAGGGTCACTCAAATTGAGATCTGGCTAGCAGTTCTGTGTAATGGCCTGGGGACGGGGTGCTGTGGTCTGAAGAACTAGGGCTTTGGGGATTTTCAGGAGATCACGTGGTGCTGAGTATCGAACATCATCAGACAAATGCAGAACGTGCATCCTAATACCTGTACTAGCTCCCTGACTGGCTTAATGTATTTTTAAACAGCTTTATTAAAGTGTGACTGACATACAAAAGAATTTATTATTTAATGTATACAACTTGATGAGTTTGGAAATAAATATTCAATTGTGAACTCATCACCACATCAACATATCCAATGACTCTGAAGGTTTCCTCCAACCTTCTGTTTATTATTATTTGGTGTTCTGATAAGAAAATTCAACTTAAGACCTAGTTCCTTCACACATTTTAAAATATGCATCACAGTATTATCAACTCTTGACTGTATGCATACATACACATGGAATGTATTTTAACTTCCTAGTCATTCTGATGAGAAAAACCTAAATTTGGAGTAGATAAATAAATAAATGACTTGATGACAATGGTGAGTGGGTCATGGGCAGAAACAGGTGGGGCTAGAATTTCAATGCAGACAAATATGGATTGAAACTTGGGGTTGTACAAGGGAGTCAAACTATGGTTTCTTTCATTCCTATTACTCTTATCTGCGAATGTCTGTTTCTTGCTACAAGGTGCCCAGTAACAGATGAGATTGCCTGCATTCATCCACATAAAACTGATGAACATATACCATACCATGCTTTCTGTAAGCCCATCTCTATTTTTGCATCGAGTATCTTATACTCTATACATAATTATTTTTATTTTAATTTTACTCTATAAGTAATTTTTGCACATTAGTCTGTTCTGGCAGTCTGTGAGTTCCCAGAACGCCAGGTGGTATGTTCTCTTTGCATCCACAGTGTCCTGTTCCTGGAATATAATAGCAATTGATTTATGTCTTTTCAACTCAAAGAAAGGAATGAATGAACTCTTTGAGAACAGTACAATACTATAAATAACATGAGTCAGAGAGAAAGTACAGGGCTTAAGGCACTTGCCTGGCCTGCAGCCTGCCCCTGTTTGATTCTCAGCACCACATATGGTCCCTGTGAGCATTTCCAGGAATTATCCCTGAGCGGGAGCCAGGAGTAAGCCCTGAGCACTGTCAAGCATTGCCCATCACCTGCACAACCACCCCCTGAAAAGAACAGTCACAGCTATTGACTATTGGTTGGTGGCATCATCTTAAAATTTGAACATATTTTAGCTAAAACAAATGTTTTTGTCTACATATGAGACTTCTTACAGAAATATGTTTGATACATAACACTAATTTTAAATGCACCATTTGTGATTTTTTTTTCATGAAGGTATAGACTACACTGTAGCCTTATATAGGGTTTTGATTGCCGTCATGTTTGTGTTTCTCTGGTTCTCTTTTTCAGGCTACTGTTTTTCACTTTTACTATACTTTGTCTTAGTCCTGTCATTCAATATTCTTTCCTCTTTTCCTATTTCAAGTGATTAAATCACTTTATTGCTTTTCAAAACTTAAGCTTTCAAATGAAAACATTGGTTTTCCAATATTATGGTGAGTCTTTAAGTTGTCCTTTGAAACCAAGTGCATCTTCACAAGAGAAATCTGAATATCCCAGACCTCAATCCACACAGAGAAAACTTCAACACACTTTCCCGGAGGATTTAAGAGATTGGGACAAGAATATGAAGAAGGATTAGAAGAAAAAGAAGAGTTGGGTGACAACAGAGCTGAAGAAAGAAAATCTATATTCTAGATCAGAGTTGCTCAAAGTATTTTCCACCAGGGTCTTCTTCCAATTTCGTTTCCTTCCTGGGGCCCGCACCCCTACCTCCTCACCCTTGTCCTATCCGTTGGCCCATTGCCTCATACCATTCCCCTTGCTTATGCAGTTTTCACCTTTGACCCCCTTGGAAAATCTGGGATTTCATAGGCAGTCATATAATCCTGATCATAAAATCTGTTTTAAACTTTTTTCCAAATTTTTTGTTAATTGTGCCATCATTCAGGCTTTAAATATGAGACGATTATATCAAATGTTTTTGTTTATTGGGGGTGGGACCACACCCACCTGTCTCAAAACTTAATCCTGGCTATGCTCAAAGATCACTCCTGGTAGGCTCGGGGACCAGGATCAAACCCACGCTGTGTGCAAAGCAAGCACCCTATCTACTGTACTATCTCTCCAGCTTTCATATACCAAATAATTTTTAAGATCTCTTATACCAGTTGTTCAATAACCACACTGTGACACAGTAGGTAATTGTGTAGGAGAAGAAGCAATCTATTTAGTGCTTTGTAGAATATTTAGCAGCATCTCTGCTAGAACCAATTCACCCAGCACACAAGCCAGAATGACAACCAAACAAGACTGCAGATACTGTCATATGTCCCCTGTAGAGATCACTACTTTCAAGATTAATTTAATCACTTGATTACATAACCTCAGCCCTTTTACACAGTAACAGCCTCTTCAAGTATTCCCAGGTTCATTCAGAAAGTTTAAACTCTTTTTTGAGCACATCTCAATGTATAAAACAGTATGTGTTCTTCAAGTTCTGCCTTTTCCTAACTAAAGGTGTAGATCATATATTACATAGATTAAAAAGTTGGCCTCTACCCAAAGATTACATAAACACATTAGCATAAACGATATGGCAAAGGCTCCTAGCAGGGACATAATAAACTTGGGAAAAGTAAAGAAGGACTTTGGCCAAGACCTTATTTTGCACTAATAAAATCATAAAATGACCTGTTGAGACTTATGGAGAAGTTCCACATTTCTTTGACTTTATCATTTTCAATTTTTAAATATCCTTCATCTAAATCTAAGTGTAAACAGGCAGGCAAATATTTCATTAAGAAGTGAAGAGCTTAGAAGACACAACATATTTATCTTCTTTATCTTCTTTTAAACACACACTGAAGATACTGCTATGTTTGTTTCTTTTATTATTCAAGAAAATAAGTTGCTTGAAATGTTTTTTTTTAAAATGGAAATCTATTCCACCTTAAATTGTATAGTGTTGGTGGCTGAACTCATATGATATCCTACTGATATTTCTAGGGTGGTGGTGTTATAGTTTTGTTTTTGCAGACTGGGGGGCAAAATAGTTTGTGAGGGATATGAAAAAAAAGAAGAGAAGCAGTAAGTTATGAAAAAGGGCAAAGGAGAGTTAGGATAGGGAAGGGACCAGTATGACAATTATAGTAAAAAATGATAACTCTGGATAAGAACTGAGTATGAGATAGGTAAAGGGATTTACATGAAAATCTTTCAGTAAATGTATTGCAAACCATAATGCCCCAAAGGAGAGAAATAGAGATAGACAGACAGACAGACAGAAGAAAAGTGCCTGCCACAGAGGCAGGTAGGTTGGGGTGAGAGGGAGAAAAGAGTGCAGGATGGGAATGGGACAATGGTGATGGAAAATGTGCACTGGTGAAGGGATGAGTATTGAAACATTATATAACTGAAACTGAAACCAAAGCATGAACATCCATATATCTGTATATCTCACTGTGATTCAATTAAAAAAATAAAAAGAGCAAGTAAATAACCATTTTTTAAAAATCACTCCTGAATTCATCTTCAGAATTTTCTGCCCTATGGCTTGTGAAAGCTATGAGTAAGAAAACTTGTCACTAAATATTAGACCTCTTTATTTCTTGCACTAGACCATTTGTCATGAGCACATTTAGAATCCATTTTCTTCAAAAATGTAAGACTTAGCTTTACTGTAACTGAGCCAATGAATACCACCAGTAATAAAAAGTTTTTGGATTATAAGAAAGTGAACTGACATGTAGCATGAGGACATCTAGTTTCTGAAGGAACTGGAATAGAGGGGTTAGCACCAGAAGAGAAAGCAATAAAATATTACACTATGCACCTTAGATTTATATAAGCTTGTATGCAAGTTACATCCCCTCGAAATGGAAAAAAAAAAAGCTAAATAAATGGCTAAAGGAAGGAGACAGTATAAAAAGGAAAGGGTGGGGACCAGAGAAAATGCAGAGCTGAAGGTAAGTATGTTGCTTGAAGCCGTCCCTGGCTCCATCCCTGGAACCACATGCTGCCCCAAGCATCAAGCATTACTGGGTGCAGCTGTGGAGGCCCCAAGCACAGCAGAGGTGGCCCAGGTAAACCTCCACACTGCAGGGCCTGAGCAGTAACTCATTTTGGGCCTTTGCATAAAATTGTCCCATAATAAACAGGGGAAGAGATCCAGAGTCTACTGAGCCCTGCTTAGAAGATGACCCAAAAGAAAAAAATGAATAAAATTAATAGAAGAGAAGCCTGAGGATAATAAAGACAAATATTTTTCTCTCCCAATTTGGTCCACGAAATGTCCCAGCAAATTCAGTCCAATTGTTGTAAAATTTCCAAAGTAAAGATCCTACCACCTTCTAAATGCATTAGGCATTCCACAGAAAGATCCAAGGTTGGAGGAAGGTGCACTTAGGATTTTTCAATGATATAAAGATACACAGTAAAAGAGCAACTAGTGACCTAAAGTAACCAACCTGGAGAGCTGGTCCATAGAACTGAGTTTGGGGGTGAGGGAGGGGCGTTGGGACATCCATGGAAATAAGTGGGCGCCATGGCAGTAGATGTAGTATTGGAATGATGTATGCATAAGATCATCATTAAGGACAACATAAGTCATAAAACCTCAATAAAGATGGTTGTAAAATAAATTAGGAAAAGTAAGAAAGATAGTTCTGGTTATCCAAAGTTTTCTTGATTAGATGCCCAAAGTTAATTTTTCCACATATTCCAAGTAACTGAGGTTAATATGACTCATACAGGTATTATTCAACATAAACCATGATAATGTCTACAGCATAACTATATAACTCAAAGTGTAATATTCTTTCATTAATATTTTTGATAGATTCTTCCTACATGTTCTATGGAACACAAATCTCTGTTGCTGTAAATGTCCATATTTTTGACTATCCCTTTTGAATACCTTCTATTTCAGGCACTTTAAGTAAAAGCTTACAAATAGCGTTTAGAATTTCATTAAATTACTCAAAGTTGTGCTTTTAAAGGATATACTCATATTTATAAAGAATTTACTCATAAAGAAATTATTCACACATGACAACACACACACACATACACACACACACACACACACACACACACACAATATGTATGCGTACCATAGCTAGAAATAGCTGTTCTATCCTTTTGAGAAATGGCTTCAGGCCGCAAAACTGGAATGTCAACATAAAAGTTTTGCATATTGTATTATCATTAGAACTTTATTTTTGTGTGCCTGCTAGGGTGGAATGAAGATCTTACTTTGCTTCTGGGTACAGAAAAAAAAATGTAAGAGGACACCTACGTTTCCTTCTATAGGTTCTTTACAGATTAAAAGAAAAATTTCAGCTTTCCTTGAGACAAGACAAAGAGAAAAATCAGGAGATCCATCTGTCGCCCATTGCGGTGCAACCCGGACAGACTGAGGCTAAGACAGTCAACAGTATGGTCCAGCCTGAGCAGGCCCCGAAGGTGCTGAATGTTGTGGTGGACACACAAGGCCGATACACTCCTGAGATCAAAGCTACCACTTCTGCCTGCCCTTCTCCTTTCAAAATGAAACCCATAGGACTGCAGGAGAGGTAGGATATTTCTCTGTATTCCATGCATGTCATATATTTTAAAAGAGTATTAACTTGACAGAAAATGAGAGAACTAAAAAAATGATTGTATATTAGATAGAATTAGATATAGATAGAATTACTTACCACCAAATGGAAACCAGAGGACATAGTTTTTCCTGTCTCCTTCAAAAGTCTAGCTGTTTACGAAAAGAAATCTTTTGGTTAGATCTGATGCTGTTATGCTGGGTAGTCCCAAATCAAGGACAGTCTCAACTACAGGTCGGTTTCTACAAACACAGAACGCTTTGTACGGAGCCAGAGCGATAACACAGCTTGGAAAGCACTTGCCTTGCAAGCAGCTGACAGACAAGGGTTTGATCCCCAGCACCCCATATGGTTCCGGAGCACTGCTGGGAGTAATTCCTTAGTGCAGAGGCAGGAGTAGCCCATGAGCATTGCCAGGTGTGGCCCAAAAACCAAAACAAAACAAAATGTTTTGTGCAAGCAGTGACCTCACTTAACACTATTGTCTGTCACCAAAACGCCCTTAGCTAGGAGGACTGGGAATAATAGGATAGTTTCCAACAAAGCCCCAATTCTGTTGAGTAAGGTAGAAGTTCATTCTACAAATTAATGTTTTATTAAACAAAGCAAGCCCATAACAAGCATAGACCATCTACAGATCCATGACAACATCTTTTGTTGCCTTCCTGTCTTTGGGAGGTGTTTATTATATTGATACTTTCCTACTCAAAGCAAATTCAGTGTTTGAAAATAAGAATATATAAAATTAAATGAATAGGAAACAATTTTTTGCTTCACCCAAAATATTAAAGTTTTCCCATGATACTTCTTAAAACACAAAACTTTGAGTTTATATATTTTTGTATTAAGATAACAGGATTTACCATAGATTTGATATTTATGCTTTAGACATACAATGTTACTGTACCCCACTGACTACCAAAATGTCAATAATCCTCCCCACTGTTGCTGGTTCCCTTCTCATCTGCTCTATCTCTTATCTCTTTCTTCCTCCTCAGCACCTCTCCCAGCTCCTTTCTGATTGGAAACTCAATTCTGTTGGCAGAATCTAAGGGCTTTAAGGGGTGGGGTTTTTTTGGGGGGGGGAGGGTGCGCCATTGTCTATTCCCTTGTTTTTTACACTCTACACATGAGTGAGATCATTCCCAATCTTTCTACTTCTGAGTTATATTGCTTAATATGACAGGCACTTTCTACTTCTATGCAACTTGTAGTGAAATGCAAAATTTCATCTTTTCTTATCACTATGTAGTATTTCATTGCGTATGTATTCTACAATTTCCTTACCAACTCATTTGGTGTAGGGCATGCAGTTTGTTTCCAGATTTAGAGGTGAGGGGACAGAGGCATGGAAGTTGGCCCACATCCAGGTTTACTTCTAACTCTGCATTCAGGGATCATTCCTGGTGGTGCTCAGTGGACCATATGTGGTGCCAGGGATCAAACCTGTGTCAGCTGCATGCAAGACAAGCACTGTACCCATTATCTTATCCAGCTCCTGTTTCTAGATATTAGTGCTACAATGAACATAGGTATACAAATATCTTTTCAAATTAGTGGAGTGTTTTTGCTCTGGGGATATATGCCAAAGAGTAGAGTTATTGAATCATATGGCAGTTTTACTTATAATCTTTTGATAAGTCTCTGTACTGTTTTCCATAAATGCTGAACTAGATCAGAGCCCCATCATCATGTTTATATTTAAAATATGATTTTGATTATCTTCAACAGGGCATTTCAGAGTAATGAAGAAATTAACAAGTTCTGAAAACACATTCACAGTCTCATTCTACTTATGTTTTCTTACATATCCATTTTCTACCACTATCTTTTTTTGCCTTAGGTTTCAAAATCAAGCACAAAAAACATCTTTATGTACATATAAATGTTGATAATTATTTTCTTTAACACCACATTCTTATCTTTAGAAAATAGAGTTTACAGCTTTAAGAACTGCTGAAACTAGTAGTTCAATTTCCTGGAAAGTATTATCAGAGAACAATAAGTGAAGCGAAAAGAAAGGAATTTATTGTCGTAATTCAAAGTCCTTAAAAGGGAGGATATTTTTCCATAAGAAATGGACAACAAGAGTGAGTAATCAAACGGTCCGCCTTTCCTCCACCCCAGCCCCCACCCTAATGCTTCTTGATTTTCAGAGGGTCCTAGGTTCCTCCAAGTAACAATCACTTATTTGGATCCCAGGACTGCTGACAGAGTTGCAGACTGGAAAGGTAGAGACAATTAGTGCTTCCTCCAAAAGGCTCCCCCAGCATCAGCAGAGAAGGTTCCAGAGTGAGGTGTCCACCCCTAGAGGGTGTGGCCTCAAGTGAGGCCTGAATTCACCTGTTTGAGTCTCCTGTTCCTTTTCTTAAATATAAAGGGGTTGACTTTTTCACTTCCTTCACTTTCTGCCACTTTTATGATTCAAATCAGTTTTATGCATTTTATTTTCATTCAAATAAACATGTTCCCAGGGAGGAGTGGCAAGAGAGCTCTTCCCTAATGCACATTATTACATTATTAGGGGTATGTTGGCTCTAGATGATTTAGAGCTGATAAAACTGGCTGAAAGTCATTCTAAGTCCTATTATCACCATACACCACCTATTCTAAGCAATGGTTATGGTGATGTCCTCCAAGAGTGTCTCTTCCTGGCATCCTGCCCTTTGTGTTTCAAGGCCAGGCATGCTTTTATTTCAAAGATCATAAGGCTAAATATCCATCAATTCATTTAGATGAAGTGACTAAAAATGAGAGTACAGGGATGGTTACTTACTTGTCTTTATGATCCACATGTGGTACTCTAGCAGAGTGAGTATATAATTGAATTCCCTGTCCACCAGTCACTAAGCGTCCTGTACCCTCAACTCACTTTCCACTTTTATTTTTATCTCAGAGTTGGAGAAATTAAATCTCTCTATAATCACTCCAGATTATTCTTGCTTAACCCTAATTGCTTACTCCATCAGCTTTCCTCCTCCATTTTTTTTTTTTGCTTTTTGGATCATACCTGGTGATGCTCAGGGGTTATTCCTGGCTTTGCACTCAGTAATTACTCCTGGCGGTGCTTCGAGGACCATATAGGATTCTGCAAATCGAACCCGGGTCAGCTGCGTGCAAGGCAAATGCCCTACCCACTGTGCAATGGCTCAAGCCCCTCCTCCTCCATTATTAATCATGTCTTCTTTGTTAATACAATCCTCTTACCTAGAAATCAGGGTGCTATTCTGTATCAAAGGGGGAAAACAATTTTTTCAATTGGCAGTTGAAACAATTCAAACTTTCAGGATACTTCCCTGTTGGTAAGTATCTTGGAAGAACTTTTCCTTTCAAGAAGTTTACTGCTTCATTGATCTTCAAGTTTCCATTTTACTGTTCCTCTTATACACTTTCAGAAAGCTTGGTCTAGTCACCAAACTCAAAGCGTGTTTTATTTCTGTCCACATCTAGCCTTAAAATCTACTCACCTTTCTTGAAACTCTCTCCTCCTTGCCTCCAAGGTATTATGTTTAGTTCTTAGGTGATTGCTATTAGACTCCCATATTAACTTTCTTTTCATTTCAGAATTCCTTCGGAGGGGTGGGAGAGATAGTACAAGGATTCAAATGCTTACCTTTCATGAATCTGGCTTTCATTCTATTCATAGAATTGCATATGGTCCTTTCAAAACCACCAAGAATGACTCCTAAGCACTGAGCCAGGAGAGTCAGGAGCAAGAGCTGAACACCACTAAGTGTGATCCAAAACACAAAAACAGAATTCCATCAGAAAGATAGATTTGGGTTTGAGGCACTTTCTTAGTAGTCTGCATAAAAGGCAGCAAGAGAAAAAGTAGCTATGGTTGGAATATTCAGCAAAGACAGTAAGGTGTAGGATGGGAGTTGGGAATAGGAAGGACCATTCAAACATCAAGATCGTGCTCCTTCCTCTCCTTCCTCTAGCACATCTTACTGATGCTGATTTAGTACCTCTGTCCTGCATCCTTCTAGATTATTTCAAAGTCTTGTATGTAGAAAATATTAAACTCCTTCTCAGATATAGTTAAGCTTTTTATTTGCTCATCTATCTTATTCCATAATCCTAACTTACTTAGAAATACATTTTTGATTTAATATTCTCCATGCCTCTTACTAGTCACTGTCACTGTCACTGTTCTCCCATTGTTCATCGATTTGCTCTAGCAGGTACCAGCAACATCTCACAACAAATTGTGAGACTTATTGTTATTGTTTTTGACATATTGAATACGTCACGGGTAGCTTGCCAGGCTTTGCCGTGCAGGTGACATACTCTCAGTAGCTTGCCAGGCTCTCCTAGAAGGGCAGAGGAATCGAACCTGGGTCGGCCACATACAAGGCAGACGCCCTACCCACTGTGTGATCGCTCCAGCCTTCTCTTACTAGCAGAACATAATTTATGAGAAGTAGAAATCCCTAGAAATAAATGCTTGGATGAATGTTGTAATGACTAATTATCAGGTCTGTAGCACTGTCCTCGCATTGTTCATCGATTTGCTCGAGTGGGCACCAGTAACATCTCCATTGTGAAACTTGTTGTTACTGTTTTTGGCATATCAAATACACCACAGGGAGCTTGCCCAGCTCTGCCGTGCAGGCGGGTTACTCTCGGTAGCTTGCCAGACTCTCTGAGAGGGATGGAGGAATCAAACCCGGGTCAGCTGTGTGCAAAGCAAACAAACATCCTACCCGCTGTGCTATCGCTCCAACTCCTTATAATTATAAGGAAAATGTTGTTTATTCCAGCATCTCATCTTCCTCTATTCTCAACCATTTTTCTGCCACAATTCTTTGCCACTTTTGCAGAGTGACAAGTTTTCAGTGATAAAGCATGAAAGGTGCACACTATTTCATGCATCCAGAAAACTTTTCTGTTATTAAGTTATGCTTGAACGTTCTAATGGGGCTTTCAAAACAGCCTTGTGCTTTGTGGCCCTCTAACTCCTGATCTTGTGT